AATCTCCCGCTTCTTCTTATTCGATACTCGCCGATACGGCACTTAACTATTCGTGGCGGACTTGGTAACGTGACACGAACTTATCTTTCGACAGATTAACCACGCGCGCCTTATCGTCGCGTGTACTTATAGCAATCGCGTTGCCGTGTCAGCGTTATACTTTTCGGTTGCCGCGAGGTCGCCGTCGCGCAACCATCCTTATTAGTTATTTTTATTTTTACATAATATATCTTTTCGGAACGCTTCGTCGGCGTTCCCGATTTAATTTACGTCGTGCCGTATTTCTTAACAATTGTCGCATCCGTGTCACGGTAATCGGCCCGTGACATTACTAATGGCAGTAATTATACATAGAATAATGGTACATACATAGTACTTATTGTATATACAATATATTATACATTTTTTATACGGTACATTACGATTTTTGCAATGTCTATGGTGCTGCTCTGCAAATCTGCTTGAGGGATATGTCTAATATACTGTATATACAATAAATATTATATATGTATCATTACACTGTGTATAATTACTGCCTTCAGTAATAATCCATATTAAAAAGCGCTACTTTTGCCTTTTAAAGTTGACAGCAAATTTGACAGCTGCCAATAGTAAAATTTTAATTCTAACATCAGACATTCGTATTCGGCGACCTCGAAAATCCTTATGTAAGATAGCTTAACGCAAAAGCAATTTCAATTCTAATAATTCAACTTTAGAATTCCATAATTTCCATATTGTTATTAATATTGCATATTTCAGGGAACCTTTCTTAAAAATCAAACTCCACAATCTTTTTTAAAGTTTTTCAACGATTAATTTAAAAAAAATTTGTCCCGATCGGTTAAAAATTACGACCCGTAGCGATTTTTGAACAGTAAATTTTTATTTTTTCCCACTGTGCGTCGTCGCGCCGCGCCGCGTCAGCGTCTGCCGCCGTCCACACTATCCGTTGCGGTACGCCGCGCACCGTCCGCGCTACCCGTGGTGCAGTCCGCTAGTACACAGGCGGTTATAAATATATATATATATGTATGGAAAAATATGTTTGCAGGTAATTGTGAGGTTAAGAATCAGCTTGTAGTGAAGAATATTATTGAACTGAGTTAAGATTTTCATAATCAATATTAAAATAAGGAAAATGTGAATAAAGCTATATATTTTCTTTCCAATTTTTCCTTTGGTTACAACTTTTCCTTTGGTATCTAAAATAGTCTGTATACTTAATATATTTTACTGAACATTTTAATTTATATTGATATTTTTTTCCATATACTTTTTTTATTATTGTGTATATAATAATATTTCTTTAAATATTAAAATATTCAGTCTTTTTGTCTAATTTTTTATTTGCAAGCATATATTCTTTTATAGAGGTAAAATTTTAATCTGTTCTGATATTGAAGTAATTAAAATTAAAGTGAAGTATTTAAATTACTGTGGCAATAAGTATAATATAAATTCTTTGTGAAAAATAAGATGTAATGATTTGATGATAATACACTGTTTCCAAATTCGATTATATGTATAAGAATGCTAATTTTTTGTTCATTTTGTTCTAGCTTGTGTGATTTTTTTAGATTCTGGAAATATAGAAAAGATTTGAGTGAGTTGGATTGTTGCACTATGAAAGGTATGAATATTGTTTCTTTTTAAAGAAAATCGTATTTGCCTGAAATCAAATAATATCACTTTCGGAATTAAATAATGTTAAATTAAAATTGAACAGATGATAATGTTATTTATTGTTAATATGTTCTCATACATTTTAGAAGCAAACAAATTTTCTTTTAATTTAGGTATTTTATTTCAATTTTTTGCTCTTTTGTAAATGTACTGCTGTTTGTGATCAATAATCATATTTTACTGTGCTTATTTATTTTGTTCAGCTAATATATAGAATCAGTTGATAGTAGATTTCTTTTTCTACTTTTCTTAACTATTACAATCTTATTTTGTCTTTTGCTGTTCATCTTATAATTGCTTTATATTTTAAGTGATTATCTCATATTATAAACATTATAAAATATATTACTGTTTTATCTTATTTTAACTTTGATTAATTATTTTTATTCCAGCTTGCATTTTTTGTATACTTCTTGTCTAAGGCTGAGCTCATGTATCCTGTGTAAAGTAATTCCAATGTAATAAAATTGTTTTGTGATTCTAATATGAATTTACAGGAGAGATTTGTAGGTTTGAAGCAGATTAGACGACAGGCTAAATCTGAAGCTTCAACAATGTTTGTTGGAATTACTGAAAGTGATTTACTGTTTTTAGATGAAGAAATAGACTTATCAACTTCTTTTTATTTTTCAAAGGTGACTTAGTTTCCAGATTAAATAGCAGTAATAAAAATAATCAACATAATGATCTTCTAAATATTTATAAGCAACAGAATAATAATTCAAATAATTATGACGAGTTTTGTTTGTCAATGGTGCGCTAAGCAATGCTGAAAATAATGACGATATGAAAATAGATTATATTGAAGAAGGCGTGATTTATGTTGACTTGTTTGACAGAAGTAGCAGCTCTGAAACTTCCAGTGATACAAGTGAGGCTAGTGATGAGGAGATTCAGGCCAATATGTGTCAGAAATTGCGCTTATGGAATGTACAATACAACATATCGTTAGATGCTTGTAGAGCATTACTGCAAATCCTCAAACCCTCACATCCTAAATTGCCTTTAGATCCAAGAACACAGATCGGAAGAGCACACGTCT